ACGCTGTCATGACGAGGTATATAACGGAACCTTTTTGAATACGAAACGGGAAAGGGTTTATAACGAAATCTCTTCAGTATCGCAAATTACAAAAGGTTCAGGACGAAACCTTTCTAAGTTTCGAAGCTTTTAAAAGTTTGTTACAAAACCTTGGATATTGCTAAACCTCATACAGGTTTCGTGTGATGCTACGGATACTTCTATAGTACAGTAAAACTCCACGGAACCTCCAAGGTTTCGTGTGGCACCTTTTTTTTTTCAGTGTAGGGAATGACCTCTTTAACAGTAAATAATGATTGGTGTCTTCGTGCACATGTATATGAAGAGCACACTTACAGCATCACTCAGATGAACAACGACAGTCCTTTCCGGTAACACAATGCGAAACTCCTGGTATCATAAGAAGATCTCTATGAGAACCAAGGTATAGAGATTAAATGTGTGTAAGTAACCATGGGCTACATGATGTGTTGCATCGAGCGTAAACGTTTCGCTAACATTCGCGATACTCTTAAAAAATATTCTGAATCTTGGCAACCATATAACGCAATGGCCTTGCATTACTCACTGAGATAATCATAAGAAAGACGATACTTTTCCTAGTGATCGTGGAAACTTCATCGCAGCTTATAAACGTCAACATCAGAACTCATCACGTGAAAGTTAGATATTTTATGAATCATTAAATCGAAAAAATCGGCCAGGACTACAATGATGTAAGCGCACAACAAATCATCAGTGCCCTGCTGACATAAAGCTCGCAGAGATGTTCTAATTAAACACAGAAAGCCACTAAAGAGTGTTCGAGATCTGCACAGAAAGACATCCGAACAATATGAGGACAACCAAGGAGGCAGACACAAAAGAGTTACTGGGAGTCATTGTGGTACAAACTATCAACAAATATGAGTACTACTCAGAAAAAGATCTTCCTCAGAAACAAGAATCACCAGTGCCAAGTACTCAAAGAGATACGACAACAACTTTGCATTGATCCATATGAGTAATGGAGATCAGCGTTATATTTATACAGCTCGTGATGATTTACCGGCATCTTGTTATATACACCAAGAAGAGTTATGGGTGTCCCGAAAATTTAGCCCATTCTATATTACTGGCGCCCCCTAGGACAGCCCATGAACGGTCCAAAAGAAAAACACACGTTTATATCAGCGGCACTTACGAACGTGAGCTTTTCACCCGTAAATATGATGCAACTGGAGCGAGTCAGGGTTGACAAAGAAATTTTATCGATTTCAAAGAGTTTGCACTTTGTTTTACCACTTATTTCAACATTGAATACCTTGCTCTATTGAATATAATAGATGTAAGGTAAGGAGAATGAAAATTTTCATTATTTAGTGCCCAATCACTCTACCTGTTGAGCCTTAGCCCAATCTGTGCACAATATGATGCCGAAGCCAATTAGTATATGAGCAAGTCTACATAAAACACGATTGGATTTGCTTTCAATCGAAGCCGTGAGATTTTACCCACTTTAAAGTATGTAATGGAAATAGTTTCAGGATTTACAAAATAAACCATTCCAAAAAGGTTGTGTTACGTTCTCAGAAATTTAAATGTTTCTGGCAATGTTAGTGCCAAAAAGCCACATATTTTGAGATTTTGCGTGAAGGTATATCTCAGCAAAAACGTATCCACTTAATTTTAAATTTTTAATATCTATACATCTCAAGTTGGTGTACTTATTGCAGAAAAGCGAATTGAAATGAGGGAATTATCAATGAGCGTATTATTACTATCACATACAGTATAAAATTGTCATTTTTCGAAGATCCGCGGATATGCATATCTCACAATCGACGTATGTGACAGAAGCAAAATTCTAGCTATAAAAAGATCTACTAGTTAGGAAACTGTCCGTTAAATGATGATTTGGACGAAAAAAAACGCTTTTGGAAGGTTACGACATCCTAAAATGTCTGATCAATAAAACTCCGGTCGATATAGTTTGAAGTACACTCTTGTTGCAATTGCAACAATGCGACACAAAATTGACTTAGGATTCTGTGCAATCGCTCATGAGATCTTATTGAAAGATACTTAAAACTGAACCATTTTCTATAGAAAATATAGTATAGTTCATTTAGAAATTGATAGAAAATTTTCATCATAAAAAATATACTCAACCCAGCATAAATAATGACATGGATTTCTATAGAATTCCATAGAAAAGTCCTTTGAAAATAGCAGTTGTTTTTGAAAAATCTTCATACCCTCCTTAGGGCTTCTGGTGAAGCTTTTTAAAAATCTCTGTACTTCTCCACGAAAACTTTACAAAAAAACAGTTCTCTTTTGTTGCTTTCGAAAAACTTTTTATGAGCATCCATAGATGGCTATATGCTGATTTAAACTGAGCAGATTTCACTTCACTCGATGAATTTTTTCTATCAATTTCGAAATGAATTGGAGTATATTTTCCATGATAAATAGGTCATTTCTCAATATCTTCCAATAAGTCTCCCAAACCGATTCTAGGAGATCCCACGTTAACTCTGGCATAACTTGGTAGTGTTCAGTGTGCACTTCAAAGTACAACAATGCGGCTTCTATTGATCAGGTATTTGATGATATCGATCCCTGCCAAAATCGTGATTTCAGTAAAAATCATAGTTCCGTGGAAAGTCCACTCAGCGATATGAGCCATTCAGAGAGCTGAATTTTTTTCACAGTAACTGCTCAATGAAATTTCGCTACAGTCAAAATATCAACTTTCTAACAGAATTTATTGTTGGAATATGTATATTCACATAATACCGAAAAATGATCATTCTGCCGTGCACCTCATCATACTGGTGAACTCATTCATCGTTCGTTCATTCCAAATCACTATTTACGATTATTACATCAAGATCAGAGGTGTAGACGTTCAGCATCTCCAGTCAGCCGGATGTATTTTCGCTGGATTATGTCTACGATAGAAGACCACAAAATACGCGATGTTTGCATATCGTGTTGTTAGAAATATTTAAATACTTTGGGCACAGAACAATCTTTTTTTTCAAAAATTTGCACCAAAATTCTTAAAACTTTCATTTCCACGACACATTTCAGAATCAAAGAGGTGTAACAACTTTTGATTGAAAAAAGATGTAGTTATGACACATGTGGACTGGTTGGCAGAACACAAAACTGAATTTCTGATTGTTCTGCCCAGTAGTTTTCATACCACCACCTTTCATCATAGAGAAAAAGGGCATCGTCAGTTTTCTGTATTATTGTCGTATCCTCCTATATTCATGTAACACGTATCCGGGATCCGGTGAGGATCCAGAGAATCCAGAGGATCCAATGGGGATCCCGAAGATCCGGTGTGAATCCAGGGGATCCAGAGAATCTGGTGGGATCCAGGGGATCCAAATGATACGGTGCGGATCCAGGGGATCCAGAGGATACGGAGGATCCGGGGATCCCGGGATCCGCTTTTCCCCCCTTGCATAAGCCACACAAACGAATGAAAATCTTCATTTGGATTTTGAGTTGAAGCATCCACCACACGAGCAAGACTTTTCCGTGAACAAAGATTTTTAAAAACAGGTTTAATTGCATCAAGTACAGGACGAGATAGAGCATGTAACGTATGATCGTATGGAGTTTTATCACGAACAAATTTCAAATAGCCACACCAATCAATACTGCAATAATCATGATGAGGATCATCATTGGTTGAACATTTATGCCAAAATATTCCCCAAGATCCGTTAAATAATAAATCCAGATCATGCTTGGATTTTCGAATGGTGAAGGCAAGTGTCATTTGTAATCGAAGTATATTATGAACTAAAATTTAAAAAAAATATCCAAATTTTCGATTTGTTTTGTTTCGAAATCTTCTCCTGAATTAGAAAGACTCACCAGATAGACGAATTTTACCACCAATTGTTTTATCATGAGATCATTTTTTTCGTCCATGTTCACGTTTTGTTGTTTCTAATTCTCGTTTCATTCTTTTGCTAAAATGATTCAAGTCTTCAATATTTTTATTTCTTTTCCTAAAATTGCAGAACAGTTAGAGTATACTTTAATTTAGAAAAATAATTTCTCAAATCAATTATATATATTATACCTGGATAAGGTACGATTTTTGAACGCACTGAAAAGGTTTTTGAATCACCATCGCCAACGTACTTAGTATAGTAAACTCCATATTTTGGAACTGATCGTTTGAACATAATAAGAATAGCAGCAGATTTCATTGTACCGGAACTTTTTTCATAATTTTTTTTACATCGATACGATCTAATAATATTATCATATTTAGCTGGATTGAATTTTTTAATAGAAAGTGCACCTAAAAAAGAGTATCCAATCAAGAAAAAGAAAAAAGAGACTTACCCATGCAAGTATTGCATGTTTTACTGCATATTTCTATATCCAGTACTTTTGGTGTTGTATTAGAAGATAAAAGAGCAGCTGCACCATATCTGTTTTGGAAACCTTGAATCTGTCAGAATCAAGGGGGAAAAAGCGGATCCTTTCGGATCCTAGGATCTAAAAGAACTCGACAGGATCCACAGGATCCGATAGGATCCAAAAGGATCCATAGGATCCAGAAGGATTCAAATGGATCCGTAGGATCCGAAAGAATCCAAAAGGATCCAATAGGATTTATAGGAATACAATACAATGTCAGTGCAAAATCAGAAAATTAATGATTTCTTCATAATAAATTAAAGATATTCGATAACGCCTTCAACAGACCCTGGTTTGTAGCGATTCTTAAAAACCTTCGCCCACGCGAATTTCATAGGTTTCGTTCGAATATAGCACTTAATGGTAAGTTAGAAAAGAAAGTGAGGACTAAACTTATGATTGCTGTTTATCGGTCATTTTGACTGATGAAATTCTATTAGATCATAAACGACTTTTATGAACGC